TACCTCAATATGCGGAGTACTAACCGGGGATTTTTTTTTGTTTTCTCTGTAGGGTCAGCTTCAGCGCCGTCGCTCCTTACAATGTCGCCCCCGGCCAGAGCGCCGATCTGAGCCATGTTGTCGCTCACTACCAGCGCCAGAATCAGGAGATGGAGGCCTCCCGTGTGGCCCGGATGCAGGACGGCAAGGTTGTGTCTCTATATGAGTAGGCGAGCATATTGAACTAAGGAAAATGTGATTCTGTTGTTGTTGTTTTTCTGTGTCACGAATATGTCGGTAATAGACATAGGGAAGCAGGGCTTGTTGTACATATACCGGGCAGTGTTCAAGATTTTTTTTCTTTATTCTTTATTCTTATTTTCCATTACCTATTGTCCGCAGATGCCGTGGTTTTCAGCATGGATTTACTTACAGAGATAATCAGCTGTAACCGCAAGCCATAGTTATATATATACATATGGTAAAGTACTCTGTAGGTCCCTGTCGATCAGATTGGCCCCCATAACTGTTACTACTAATGCCCAATATAAACAGCAGAGCCAATAACATCACACCTTTATCTAAGCTACTTACTAACGCTACTCACCATAAACCAGATTTCCTCAAGCCATATAGTACTTATATATATACTAACCACAACCCTAACAGTAAACAGCAATACCAACATCAACTACTAACTAAGCACACCTAACCCCCAAAACCACCCTCCCCACGCCTTCAGACTTAACATCCAACCTCTCCTGCACATCGACCTCCACCCCCAGAGTCCCAGCAACACCACCCAAAACAGCCAAAAACTCATCGACACCGCCTCCAACCCCAAAATAGACCTTCTTCGCCGCGACCAACGCCGCCGCGCTCTGCTGCTGTCCTCCCGGCGCAGCAGCAGCAGCAGCAGCAGCAGCACGACGCAACAAGGCGACTAACGTCTCGGAGAACGCCCCCAGCGACGCAGGCGAGTAGATAGTCTCGGAGGCGAGGACGAGTGTTTGGGAGTAAGTTACTTCCTGGGTGGAAGAGGAGAAAACCAAGTCGACGAAAGCGGGCGACCAGGCACCGGAGATGAAGGAGATGGTGATACCGCGGGCAGAGAGGTCTTCTTGGAAGGATTGGATGAGGGTGGGGGTTATGTCGAGGAGTTCGTCTTCTTCTTCTTTTTCGGGTTCTCCTTCGGAATGGGAGGGGGAAGATTGTGTGTAATTATACCATGTTAAGAGGAGGTTAGGGAAAGTGACGAGACGGAGAACGGCAGAGTTGTAGTCTGCGAAGGTGAAGTGGGTTCTTTTGTTTTGCTGCTGTCCTGATGCTGGGTGACAGAGGAGTTGTGCGAAGAGAGATAGTGATGGGATGGCGGTGCCGGCGCCGAGCTTTGGATATTCTTGTTAGTATCCCATATGCTGGGTGTTATTCAGGGTAGGTAGGTACATACCTCAATGATATGTCTATCACAAGCAGCCGTCGACGCAGCCAGCTCATCGGTATCAACAAGCACCTTGGCTAGGTCAACCGCACATTCCCAGGTCTTGAACCCGCCTTCGTAGAAATTGGGCTTGATGTCGCCTTTCTCCAGACCGGCAATCAATTCCTCGTTGTTCTCGTCGGGAGTATCCTCGGCCATGAGTTGGGCGCGGATGTCGAAGATGTCCCGACGAGCGAGGGTGAGGTGCTGGTTTGCAGTGGCAGTTTTGGTGGGCAGTCTGAGCTTGTTGAATGAGATCTGAGATGGGAGTGTAGGGATCTGTGGAGTGTTTAGTTGTTGATACTTTGATGTAAGATAGAGTAGGGTAGGGTAGATGAGGGATATATCTAAGTGATAGATACTAGAAGAGTGCCATATATTGAGGTTACTCACCCATTCAGCCACATCATGTTTCTTAGCTGGAATCAGCTCTGGGAGTGCAGAACCCGCACCAGCATTCTGGTTACTGAGAGTCTCGTGAGTCTCGTTCATTTCCGTATCATCGATGTCGATATCGTCCCCCGCAAAGCCGAAGCTGAATGTGGATGTCATGATGTATTGGAGTTCTTGTGAATAGACTCAGCTATCAACGACCAGAGCAGAGCTGAGTTATCTATGGAGGGAACTATTATATGCCGCTTGCACAGCCGAGTCCGATGTCTGAGAAGTAGAAGATGGATATCCAGCAGTGAGGTGGGGTATCCTATGAGATCTACTTCAATGGAGGATTGAAGAGTCTGAGCACCGTGTTAATCTGAGGGAAAGCTCAAGACAGGTAGTCAATCTCAAGACACTATTTCCGATATCTCCTGTCTAGACAAGAGTCCGATGTATATCAAACCGTCAATGCCTGGTTCTTTTCTCTTGTTGCTTCATTCGTCCAAATTCTGCATTTTCGTTATCGGGATGACTAAGCATTGTGATTGGGCGCTGAAACCAGTCCTATACATCACGTATAGTCTTGGTCTGAAGGACGAATAGTATTATCTTTATTTTGATTTTCATTGGTACTACTCTATATAGTTACAAGCAAAATCTGTACAGCTACTTGTATGATTGCTTGGCTTTAGCAGGTATAATCTGGTGCCATGACCGGGCCCGCAGAACTGCTACACAAGACCCTCTATCGTCTCACATTTATATATATCGTAGAAACGCTCTATGTATCGTCCCAAACACGCAGATAACGAAACGAACAAAAAAGAATCACCACGAATTCTCTAAGCAGATCCGTTCTCGACCTTAGTAGCAGCCACAGCCTTCTCGAGAGCCTGAAGAGCATCGGCCAAGAGGTCCTCGGAGTCCTCAACACCGCAGGACATACGGACGAGGTCATCGAAGACACCAGCAGCCTCACGCTGGTCCTTGGGGATACCAGCGTGGGTCATGCTGGAAGGCACCTCGCAAAGAGACTCGACACCACCCAGACTCTCGGCCAGAGTGAAGATCTTGGTGTACTTGCAGAAGAGGTGAGCGGCTTCCTGGCCGCCCTTGATACGGAAGCTCAGCATACCGCCGCCCATGCCGTTGCGGTGCTGCTTGACGGCAATGGCACGGTTGGGGTGAGAGTCAATGCCGGGGTAGTTGACGGCGATGACGTTGGGAGAAGCCTCGAGGGCCTTGGCGACGGCGGTGGCGTTAGTGGTGGCCTCGCGCGCACGCAGGTGGAGGGTCTTGAGACCACGGTGGGCGAGCCAGCAGTCGAAGGGGGAGGGGACAGCGCCGATGGCGTTCTGGAGGAAAGAAAGGCGCTCCTGCAGGCTGTCGGAGTTGAAGGCGGCGACACCCATCAGGACATCCTGAGATTATTCCATGTTAGCATGATGCCCGTTGCTAGGGAGGAACGGGTGTCAGAGTTGAGCTTACAGAGTGACCGTTGATGTACTTGGTGACGGAGTGGACGACGATATCGGCACCGTGGTCCAGAGGGTTCTGAACGTAGGGGCTCAGGAAGGTGTTGTCGACGACAACCAGGATACCGTACTTGTGGGCGACGGCAGCGATCTTCTCGATATCGACCAGGCCGAGGGTGGGGTTGGAGGGGGTTTCGATCCAGACCAGCTTGGTCTCGTTGGGGCGGATGAGCTCCTCGACGTCGAGTTCAATGCAAGGCGAGAAAGTCACCTGGACGCCATGGGCGGAGGCAACCTTGGTGAAGTAACGGTGAGTTCCACCGTAGACATCGGAGACGGAGACGACGTGAGAGCCCGCGGCGAGAGACTGGAGGATGACGGCGGTGGTGGCAGAGCCAGAGGAGAAGGCAAGGGCATATTTAGCGTGTTCAAGAGCAGCAATGGCCTGCTCGAAGTTGTCACTAAATTTCCAGCAGTCAATATCCATGCAATCAATGTATCTCAGCTATGGTGATTCCGTTCCGACTAACCGGTTGGGGTTCGAGCTGCGGGTGTATTCGTAGAGACCGACGGGGTTTCCGACGCTGGTCTGCGCAAAGGTGGTGGAGAGGGAGATCTATGGGCCAGCTGATTAGCGCGTGCACCGTAGGAGTGGAAGGGAGTGTTCGGAGAAGAATGCGAACTGACAGGAGCAATGACAGCGCCGGTGGTAGGATCATGGGGAGCACCAGCGTGGACGGCCAAAGTTCCGAAGCGGCGATCCTGAGGGGTCGACGCTCCGTTCTGAGTAGTGGGGAGAGCAACCATTGTCACGATTTTGGGGGAGGAAGGAAGTTTAAATGGAATATACGAAATGGGGAATAATAGAAGAAACCAAAAAAGAAAAAAAAAAAAAAAGCAAAAGTGAGTAAATCAGAACAATAAGTCGCTGATAGTCTAAATGCGCGAGTACTTGGTGTCTTGTAGAGCAGTTGAATGCTTAAAGACAAGAGGTGGATGATGAAATCACAGGGCCCCTGCAAGACGCAATGCGGTCTAATATAAGCAAGCCAACCTTCAAGGTTTCTAGGGTTGCGATTTGTAATGGGCCAAGGGAACGAGAGAGAAAATTAGATCGGTGAGACGCAGAATCCCAGGAATGAAAACGAGACGAGCCGCGCACAGAGATAGAGGGGGCAAGTTTGCTTGAAAATTTCTGGCTGATGTCGGGTTTCTTTTACGTTGCGCAGACTGGATGCTGGAGAACTATAGGACGAAGTGGTCGAGAGGGACCCGCGCCGAGTTCCAGAATCTTTCTTCACTTTCTTTTTCCTTAACTTTCTCCACCCGCCAGTTTTATCGCCGCCTTTAACCGTCGCATCGCCGACGCCCTTCCGTGCTGACAGCCTAGTTTAGTTCCACTACTAACTATTAGTGAAGGTGTGTTTGCTTTGGTATTGTAAGGTGTCATTTGCATCCCTATCTCTATCTACGTACGCCCTGATTTATCTAGAGTCTGCAACGGTGCCCCCCCCCCCCCCCCCCCCCCCAAATTCGGCATGATTGCACGGTCGCTGGTGCTGCAAGGGGAAGTAATGATCCATGGTTCCTGGGGATGGGCTCATACCATCCCTTCATTTCGACATCAAGAATCACTATTGCGCCAACCTGAACAATTAATAAAGCCAAGATCATGTCATTATTCGTCTATCGATGGGATTCTTGATCGTCTCTCTCTGCAACTTCCATCCCAACGTGGTATATCCAAATTTCCCCCTTTACTTTTCACTTTTCCTTTGAACCCACTGTATGTAAGTAGTAGTAGTAGTGTACAATGCAATCCCATCCACGGAAAGCTCTCGTATTCTTCCTCTCCAAAAACAAAGCAAGTCATCAATCACCACCATGAAATCGGACCCAATCCAGCCATTTGCATGGATCCCTATATCATAAAGATATTAGATTGTCTTCAACACAGATAATATATCTGAAGTAAGGCAAGTCACTCACTATAATCGAATATGGGGGTTTCCGCTCGATGGCGGCGGCATCTCCTAGATCCGGCGCATTCGGGATCTGGTCGTGCCATTCTTCCATCTCGACGCGGAATCGAACAACTTCACCAACATCAAAGTAGAACGTGGAGCCATCTTCGTTCTCCCAGATCCAGACTTGATCCGCGTAGTCACTGGTACCAGTTAGCAAAGTGGAAAATTGCAGAGCTAAGTTAGGTGGTACACTCACAATCTGGCGCCATCCAGGAGTAGATCAGGGGGCACGAGGATATCGTTGAAGAATTCCACGGCAACTAAAGAGTGTCAGCATCAAATTTTGTCATATAAATGGGTATACAATGAATGCCCACCCTTGATGCCATGTTCTGTCGCACTCGAGATCTTCCCAAGCATGATCTCGCCCTTGAACGGGCGGAAGACTATCAGACGGAATTTGACTGTCACTAGGTCAGTTTCTCTGCTATACTATAAGAGAGAGATGATAGTAGATAGGAAAAGTAACATACCATTTACATTAACAAGTCCAGTACCATGGCCAATCAGACCATCTGAAGACTCTAGCAGATCATAGAAACCAATACATAGGCCGATTTTTTGAATGACCTGACCACAAAGAGGTCAACGATGTTCACCCACAAGCATGGCTCGCAGACCGTGCTAAACATGAAGCACATAATAAGAGGAGAATCACGCGCTGGAACATACTTTGTTGGCATACTTCTCGTTGATGTTATCCTCGAGAGCCACAGCGCTATATTTGGAGAAATCCTCCGGGGAGATCTGGATAAGATCCGAGATCGTTGTCTGTGAGAGACAGGTCAGCTCATACTCCAATATAGAAGTGGAAGTAGTAGTCGATCACTAACAAGAATGAACATGATGAATAGAGTCGCTTGACGTAGCGCTCAAACGGCCGGCGGGGAAGAAGAAGAAAAAAAAAAGATTAAGGACGACGGAGATGATAAATTCTTCTTTTCCTTTCTTTCTATTCCAAGACAAGCATTCGGGTGGAAGTATTCAAGTGGTCGGGACTCAATCCCATATTAGAAAGCTAGTTCAATTGTCCTCCATCCAGCAACCATTTTACATTTATTATATTGGAAATCACTTTTAGCAGCAGCAGCTCAATGCGAGAACCCCCCGGCATCCAGCCAATGGCAGCCGGCGGATCTGCCCTGAAATTTTTGCCTGGACAGTGAGGTTGGCACCACGTGAGCGGCACACGATTCCTGATTCTGCTCGGAACGGAACAACCAAAGAGGCTCTGTCACTGAATCTCCGGCCGCCTTTTATTGAGTTGCGCCCTCGTCAAGTCTTCGCAATGCCGGGAGGATGGCGTGCTCTTTCTCTTCGAAGGTCGTCTGAGATCTTCTCGCCATGAACTCCCAGGGGTTCTCTTTTCCTCCTCCCCCTCCCCCTCCTCCCTCTCAGCAACAACAACCGCAACAACCGCAACCGCAGCAGCAACAATACCGTCACCATAATGCCAATAACTACCCTTCGCAATATGGCGGTCAGGGTTATCACGGCCAACGAGGTGGTCATGCTCATGGTGGCCACTTCAGAGGACGTGGGAGGGGCTATGGAAACCGGGGAGGCGCCCGTGGAGGTCACTTTATGACACCAGATAACCGCGCGTACCCTACCGCTACACCGTCTACTGGCTACGCTCAGATGAACTACTCTGGGTATGCCACGCACCCCAACCCAGCAGTCCAAGCCACTCCTTCGCCATCGCAAAATTACCAACGGGCTCCGAATGCTTCCTCCTTCCCTCCTTCGCAGCCTTATGCGCAATCCGCAACCCGGGTGCCGCCTTACCAAGGCCAGCCTAACTATGGGGGAGCTTACACTTCGCCTACGGCTCAACCTGGGTCTATGTATCCTTCGGTCATACCTGCCCAGCAACCGGTCAACCAGCCAGTTCAGACGCCGATGGTTGCCCCACCTATGCGCTGGGGGTTTGAGCAAACGGGACCGGCAGGCTCCTTTGCCGGAGCTCAGCGCGGTGGACACTTCAACGGTTACAACGCTCAGTCACATAATGGGGATAGAACAGCACACTATGCCAACAAGCGCGATCATAATGCGGCCTTTGGGAAGCCCCAGTCCGTCGCACCCCGAGTTCCCGCACCGCCTCCGGTTCCCAGCTTCGGAAATCCTCTTCCCGTCAAACCCCCGCCACCAGCTGACGCCACACGGAAGCCAAAGAAGAAGAAGAGAAAGCACAATCAGCTTGGATTGACCCCGAGAACCGAAGAGCATGAGTCGAGCGAGGATGAAGACGATGTGGATGAAGAAGCGAGATTAGCCGGAGGAGCTGCTGCTGCCGACACCGCAGCTCTCAAGGTCACATATCGCGGAAAGACATCCACATTGCAGTCACCGGAAGAAATCGCGGCCTGGATTGAGGAACGGCGAAAGCGATATCCGACGCAGGCGAAAGTGGAAGAGAAGAAAAAGGCCATGGAAGAGGCGAAGAAAGCACGCCAGGAAGTACAGCGGCAGAAGGATCAGCGAAAGCAAGAGTCCAAACGAGCGCAGAAGGACGGTCGGAATAAGAAAGCGCACGACAAGCAATCCAATGACCAACCGGTCGATCCCATAGATGCTGCAGCGAAGGCGAAGGAGAAGGCGGATAGACTGCGGCGAAAGCTCATGAAGGAAGAGAAACGGGTGGCTAAAGCCGAGGCAGATGCTGAAAGGGCTCTACTGAGGGCTGAGGCACTGAAAAAGGGATCAACCGATGCCAATATAGACGAAAGTTCGGCCACCGCACAAGTCCAACCGGCTTCGGAAACCGGGATCAGGGCAGATGCAGATTCGGAAGACAAGTCTGTCAAGCTTGGGCCTGCTGCAGTCGAGGGATCAGAAGTCACCAACGGCGACACGACGTCTGCAACAGATGTCAAAATAGACGCTGGGAAGCCCGAAGAGGCTGGGGACGAGGCCAACATCTCGTCTCAAGATGACTCCGATAGCAGCGATTGGACATCGTCCAGTGGGTCAGATTCCTTGTCGGATGAATCCGACAGTGACTCGGACTCTGCGCCGGAGGAGGCGACCACTCGACGAGAAGGACCGGAGCGGGTACCGCCACCCCCTCGCGAGGGTAAGAAAAAGCCATGCCATCACTTTGCTCGAACCGGTCGCTGCAGGAATGGGGATAGATGTCGGTTCTCGCACGAGGCACCTGAGCGAGGAAAGAAAGCGAAGCTAACGGAGCCGAAGGGGCGAAAGGGGCTTCTACAAGCGGTGAGTCCAGGAATCCCCAAGCTTATGCTCCTGAGAGCGTGACTAACATGTGCAATTACTAGCTCCTGGACCGCCAAAAGGGAGAAGACGACCGAAAGGTCATGGAAGCAATTGCATGGCTCGGGGAAAAAGGATTCCTAGATGCGCCAAAGGCCCAAGAGGACACTAACAACAAGTCGACATCGGTGACCGAAGGCACGGAAGCTCCGCAGCAGGCAGCCCCCAAGGACACAATCTCGGGGCAGGAAAATGATGCTGCCGCCGTGACTGCCTAGTATATAGTGTGGCACCATCTCGAAGGCCGTATCGTAGTGTGCTGTATATACATAGTACATAGCTAGACTAACGCATTATAGTACGTCTCGTGTCAGGCTCCGTCGTGCTCGAGCACTTGATACAGTCCAGATTTTCATTAGTGACTCGTGCCTGTAGGCTGTATAGTGGGGAGTCATTTCAGTGTTCTCTCGTTGGTCCAAAATTGAGCCCAGACAAATCAGAGTTCGGCCATTGAGTATAGAAGCACTTCGGACGAGAGCGTAAAATTGCCATCGCACCATAGTGGCCACCGGAGCTCACTAACAAGGCGATGCGGCTGCAACCTCGGTTTGAGCCGACTATAGATAGTAGGAAGTCAGGAAGATGGAAGGATGGATGGGTGGGATGGGTGGCGCCTCCCCGCTTCGCGCTGCGCTTGTGGGTCAGCTCAAGTTGTTAGTGCTCTCGTAGATAATTTTTAGCTCCTCGCTGTACACTAAGTGAGGATTTCGAATGCTGGCATAAACGCTCGGACGGAGTTCATTTCCCATGATAGTCTAGACAGGATGGATGCCTAGCGAGGGCGTGGGTCTTGAATCTCCATACAGGATTAGAATGCCTGCCTGACGGTCTCCGAAGGAGAGAAGACAAGGAGAAAGGCGAGAAAAGTCTAGCCCATAGTGAGAGTAGTGTAGGTAGTCCAGGGGGAAGAATGATGTCGGAGTTTAAGTAGAACGATAGACTGAGTAGATGGAGGGGAGGTTCGAGGGGTGGGGAGGGATAATCCTTAACGAATTGGGAGGTGAAGTGGATGAGAAGCTTTGTGTCTAAATCACTGGATAAGGAAAGAGTGAACTTTGGGTCACTTGGAGAGGAGCCGAGAGAACTGGATACTCCTAAAGGAGTACCTCTCCGAGGAAGAGAAAGAGATAAGGGCGAATAGAGAGGTTTGTATAGCAAGTACTAAGGACCCCTGTTTGTGGACAGGGATTCTCGATAGTGTGGTGAGTGGCTTAGATCCTGGAGATGTGATGTCTCAGTTCATTGAATCGCTTCTGAGCTTTGTATCGAACAGTATTCTAGTTAGATGGAATAATATATGGGAGTAGTCGGGTAGCTGCTTAGTCGGATACCGCAGGCCAAATGAATAATCGTGATCGGCCGCATCCACATGTCAGTTCCGCACATCCTGATAAGATAGACTGTTGGACACTAACAGCCGTCCAGTCGGATAGCCAATGTTCTCTCATGATACTTGCATCAATTACAATTGAAAAGAGCAAGCAGAGAAGAACTTGTGTTACAGCACGTCAGAAAACAAATACTATCATACACCCAACAAGAGAGAAGGTTCCAGACAGACAGACAGTACTAATAATACGGTACCCTCGAGCTAGTCCCGAACGAGGGCATCAGCAGCTCCCACAAACTTTGGAGCGGAGTGGAACATGTCGGCGAGGGTTAATTTCATTTCTGCCCAATGATCGTCCGCGTGCCCTGAATTGTTGCTGCAGGAATTGGGAAAAACGCCCCTGAGCAGATACCACCTTTTCTGCCAATAATGCCTCTCTCAATCGTACCGAGGGCTATATTTACTTACACTTTTTCCAAGCGTCTCCTTGGCTTGTCGCTTAAGGAAGTCATTCAAAGTCCGGACTCTCGCGGTTAGGTCATATAAAATTTGCCATCTGTCTAAGTATGTATCTAGTGAGAGTTAGCCACTGTAGCCGACGAACCCCCGGTCGGCGAGCGAAAAATAGTACCATTGGAAAGACGCTACACCCGAGTCGGGCCTGAACTCTCCCAAAATGGACGAGAATGAGGGGATCCGAACCGGACTTCCACCGGAAGATGAGGCCAGAAGAGAAGCAGTTGAGCGACTAGTGACGCCCAAGGGGGATTAGCGCAAGTGGAGGAGGTCCGATACAGCAGGTACGCCCAGTACGCTAGACCATAGGCTGGGCTGGTGTGGCCAGGAACAGGAAGGTCCGGATGTCCACTAGTCACAGGGTCATCCAATCCATTGTGCCCTGCGTCGGTCTGTCCGCAATGACAATGGAACCCCCCCCTCCTCCTCTCGTGTTTTTTTCCCACTTGATTTTCGCCGTCTGGGTCAGAGTCGGGCAATTTGTACTAAGAAGGTAACCTAACTTAAGCCAGGTAGGCAGTAGTATGCGAGTAGACTAGTCTAGTATCTACTTAGTAACTTTTCTCCAGTCCAGTCAATACTCACTGACTAGTAAGTATACATAGACATCCTCCTCCCCCCGTCCCCGGTGGTTCGTTCCTTCCTCTTTTCTCTTCTTTCTTTCTTTCCCTTCCTCGTGCGATTTCCCCATTCGACGTCTGTCCTTCGTTCTTTCGTCGTCTGCATCTACTGACTCACCCCGGTTCACTCTTTTTGACCGTCGAGACTATCCTTCCTCTCTGTCCCACTTAGAAGTCATTCTTTTACTTCTGTACCACCCACACTTGCATCGCGTATTTACGCTTGTATATCGCATACTATCCATTCCCCGTTATTGTACCGAGTCATTCTACTACTCACATATACTTCTCCACCAACATCCATCGAAATGCGTTCCATCTTCTACCTTGCTCTCAGCGCCATTGCGTCTCTCGCGGCCGCTTCCGACAACCCGTTCAGCGTCCCTGAGGGTGGCTACACCTTCACCGCGGGCAGCCCGACTACTCTCACCTGGGACCCGACTACTAATGGCACCGTCACCCTGAGACTCCAGTGGGGTGCTGTCTTCACCACCACCTCGGGCAAACTTATTGCCGGTAAGCTCCTGCTATGGATATGGTGTGGAAAATTGTGATGAGATAGGTGCTGACGAGACCATTTAGAGAGCATCGACAACTCTGGTAGCTACTCTTGGACTCCTTCTGCCGATCTTGCGGCCCGCTCGGACTACACCATTGAGATCATCGATGATGATGACACGGACGATGTTAACTACACCCCGCGCTTCTCGGTTTCCGGTGCTACTGGAGCGGTGACCACCAGCACTGCCTCGTCAACCACGTCTTCTGCTTCCAGCACTAGTTCTTCCACCGACCAGACCTCCACCGTGAGCGCCACTACTCTGTCTACTACCACCTCGAGCGCTAGCTCTTCCACCTCGACCACCACGGCTGCCTCGAACTCTACCGTTTCGGCGACGTCCTCCAAGACTGCCTCGTCCAGCTCTTCGAACACCGCGAGCTCCAGCGCTTCTACCGCCAGCGTCACCACCGTGTCCACCAACGCCGGTATGACCAACCAGGTCTCTATTGGCATGATGGCCCTTGTCTTTGGTGCAGTTGCGCTCATCTGAAACTCTATGACGTTCTGATTCCTCTGCCCGCCTGAGGGCTGCTGCCAATTCCGTGGTCGGGTGATGATACCTTTTTTCTTTACTTTCTGGTACATAGATTTTTGAGCACTTTTTATTTACGCCTTCTTGCATCCCCCTTTTACTCTTCTCACGCCCTCTTTGAACTTTCTTCTTCACGTGCCCTGTTGGATTGTCAAGGATTGCATGGACCTTTCCCGTTGCTGAAGAGTATCCTTTGTGTCTCGGAAAAAGATGTTACAGATCCCGGCTTTCTTTGCCATTTTCGCTCTTGGCGATGGTATGGGTATGTTAAATTATTACTACGACATTGTTTTTGTGCCTCCGGATGGATGGACCTAATGGGTTGGACATCGGACTTTACGGAGTATGTAGATATGGATTGTGTAATGAATGACTACTAGCATATCTCATGCATGCATTAGACAGATGACTCGGAGCGCCCCTGGACGAAGGGGTCGATGCGTTGTAGCTGTGTGTACACGGGACCTGCATGGTGAGCCCGGTGAAGATTCTGACGGGGTGGAGATGGGCGTACCTTGCATGGTCCACTAGACTGCAGAAGACCGTCTGGGATAAGTTGGGGACATGCAGGGTAATGCTAGAGTGGAATGGAAAGTTCGAAGGATTATAAGACGATATATTAATGAGCCCAGGAAAACGAATCCGACAAGTACGTAGCCTCGATAGTTAGATGGAATAATTTAATAGTCAAATACCCCATAGGTAGGGCCGAGCAATGCCGGCTAACAGATAAAGTGAAACAAAACAATTTAACTATATGATAGGGATAAATCTAGGATATTATAGACTCCGTCCCCTCAACCCTTTCGAAATCAAGGCCGGTAAGTAAAAAACAAAAAAAAAAAAAACCCCCCAAGAACAAGAAAATGAGCGTACGTAAAATGACAATGCGAAAAGGAAAATCGAAGAGATGATCCAGACCCATTGGGCAAAGAAATGGGCTGCTGGCCGGGCTCCACGGTAATCAAACTAAACCGTTAAATAAAGGGTCCACCCGAGTACTAAGTAAGTAATCCAAGTTATCCACCGACGGACGGGCAAAACTTCGGTGTGTGGAGACTGGAGAGAGGCTGACTGAGTGACTGACTCTTTTTGAGAATTTGATTTGAGATGGGTAATTTAATTACACTGTAAGTTACTGGGCGATGTTTTTCTTTCTTTTTCACTTGATGATGATGATGGAAAAGATATTTCTTTTATTGTGCTGTAGTTTATTTATTTATGAATATTATATCGAGGTTTAATTCTGATAATATTATCAAATATTGGGTTGGTGTATGCAGTATATTTATTGATTGGGATTTGCTTCTTTGCCAAGATGACAGACACAACAACAGATGGATGTATCGGGGGCCTTTGTTTGTTTGGGGGTTGTATTTGGACCTGCAAGGCACGTGAGGGGTTGTCTTGAATTTTTGGTTTCGGGTGAGTTCCATGGTAAGAGACAGTTCTTGCCCGAGGAACCATATTTTGATAGCTGTCCCTATTATAGATGAGTTCCTTTTTTCTGTTTTCTACCCCTGAGACAGACGGTGATGTAAGGATGGTTGGGGGAGGTAGAAATTTAGGGACTTCGTCTCGAGGAAAGATTCTTTGTTTGTCTGAGACTGTCTATCTGTGACCTGAGCAGGGGCTGTATTGTATGCATGTTATGCAATGATACTAAGCCAGAATTATGTGCAAACTGCAGTAGTTACAGCAGCTGACATTGGAATTGATGAAGAAAGTCAGTCCGAGAGAAAATCAGGGAAACCGACAAGCACGGATGTAATCGATATTGGGATTGACTTGATCGGCGGGAGACTTTCATTTAACTTGTGCGGGGAGGAATATCATTGGTGGGCTGGCGTGAGGGGATAGGGGGAATCTTAATTTTCGTTGGCACTTCAAAGTAGTCAACTTGGCTTTGGGATTATCGTTATCTATCATTTAAGCACTTTGGAGCTGTGCAATGGCCGTCGTTATACTCGTGCGTTTTCTAAGATCTCTTTCCATCAAGCCGTCCGCAACTTGGCGCAAGGTCTCTACGTGCGGATCATCGCTTATCTGTGATGCGATCTCGGATAGAAGTTTCCCGTACGCCCAGTTGTCGTTCTGTTGGCGTTGTTCGAATGAAAGATTACACGGTGGAATATCGCCTAGAACCTCGGGTGCACACCATTCATGCGTGAACCCTCCGATGCCGCTGATGTCGATGAGCACTGCGTTTCCGTCGGCGTCGAGAACGATATTTGACGGATTTAGGTCCATGTGAGTTTTCTTTGTCTCGTGTAAGCGAATCAGCGCGGTTCCGATCTGGACGGGCCATTGCTTCCAGCGGTATTCTGTGACGCGGAGATCGGAGAGGACCTGCTGTAGTGTCCCTCCGGGATATGCTTCTAGTAGAATGCCCGTCACAACTAGTGGTAAGCCGGTATCCCAATCAAAAGTCTTGTAAGGATTTGTAGATACGGCAATCCCAGCTGCCTGCACTATGTTTGGTACTCCAGCGAAGTAGTTGAGGTTCTCCAGTTCCTTGCGAATGACCTCGGTATCGTGACGTCGATAGAGAGGTCGGTCCACTATCTTGAGGACGTATCGCGTTTTGCGGTGGTAGACCCAGAATACCCCGGCCGTGATTTCGGTAGCACCTGTCAGTTCTTTGTGGTTGATTTGTCGAAAGGAAGGGAATTCGTCGCATGAAGGATAGGCGACACTGCGAAAGTCTTCTTGGATGTTGCATCTTAGAGCCGTAGTGGGATTTTGTGAGGTGCCAGAAGCATCGTCAAGCTGAAGCTCCACTTCAACACCGGTTGCTGTTGCATCTCCTAGGATGATCTCTGTTACGGTGTGCGGGAGGAGAGGAAGCAATTTGTAATCTATTCGTCGAACAAAGCTCTGGAAGAACTCGCGCCGTTCACGCTTGGTGGTTTGCTGCTCTCCGGCGTTGTCGAAGGGGAGGTTGGCGGTCGGGCCTAGTAGAGTCACTCTAATCCACCATTTGTTGCCTTCGATGTAATAGATTGATGTTTGCGAGCGACTGATGGGCTCTGAATTTCTTTCCGTCGTATAGTCCAGCTGCTTTGAGTATCATGATTTGAGAGCAGTGCGAGCTGAGTATTTAGTCATATTGTCCTGAATGAATAAGTTAACTATAGTTAGGAGTCTGGGATATCAGTTGGCCTATACACGGTGAGTTACTAATTAACTAACAAGTGCAGGGAACAGCAAACATGACTAATCAATGCAGAGGTGCAGTGATTGATTAGTTAATAGTTCGTATGACTTCTAACCCAATGCAAAGACGCCATCGCTTAGCCACTGGTGCATATTGCAAGTCAGTTAGTGCAACTGATGCCCCATCACGTTGGGAACTCGACCGATGCACGGGCATAATATTCTCGGACTTAAACTCCCAGAATGAAGTAGTTCATCCCGATGCATATAGTATTGTATAGTGGCTCATCTCGGGTGCCTATTTTGTATCCCCGAATGCCCTCAAACAAGCTTTCCCATTCCCCAGATTAGGCGACAGTATTTCTTAGCGTCGGGTACACGTAGTGAATGGATTTGCCCCATTTGAATCATCAAAGTGTCAAGATCTGTTTGTTTGGTTCGGAAATGAATAAATAGTGGGTATTCTTATTGGGAAATTACAATGTGGAGATACTACTATTCATAGGCTGCTGGGAGGGGTACCAGGTTGCCATAGAAGGACTCAACCTCGCCATTGTGGAATCACTGTTGACTTAGTCGAGTCGATTTCGCAGAGTTTTAGTGAATACAGATATTTTGGAAAAGCAGTACCCATCTGTTTTATCCATCCCCATAGTAAGAAACGGTTACTGCACCTGTGATAGAACAAGACACCGTCACCACAAGTCAGACTCTATACTGGCAGGCATTCCCAAGCCATGAGTTGCCAGTGAAGAATGACAAGAACTGAATTTCTCTGGTTTCGCTTTTTATATATAAATCAGGTCTCTGTGGAAGTTTCCGTTCGGTTGGGGATTATCCTGGTTCAAGATGAGAAGGGTGTCACGAAGTTCAGGTAATCTAGTTCACACACTCCCCCATATAAGGGACCACATCATGTCATGCAGTAGCCACTATATACACCTTGACTTCCACAACAATTACCATCCATAAAGGTCTGATCCAGCCATCTGTTCAGAAACCGGGATGTCGATGAGTCTCTTCTCTTCGACATCGAACACCGTTATCATATCTGAAGATCTGAGTCTTGAATACAGAGACTTAAGTTGCTGAGTGTGTGGTGATACATGGAGGATCCTGTAGATGATGGTGAGGAGAAATAATATTTCTTGCAATACTATGAATTAGCGAACATTACTGATGAGTTCTTGTCAAGTTCCTTGAGGAGCTTTCCAATTGCTGAAGTGCCGATCAGACCAACAATCAACTGTGCATCTCAATATCGTTACAAAAACCGCAATGCAAATGTTACAGTGCCAAAGGACATGCTTCGATCTTAGATCGTCCGATTATGTATGCCGGTTTGCTTCTTCAGTTTGAACATCTTTCGGGTAATGATGAACTTTCTCGAAAGTCCTGGTGCAGGAATCGAGGTATACGCCGCAATATGGAAATCGCACTATATACATTGCTTGGTCCGTCTCAGGCGGCTTCCTCTCAGGCGTTATAGCTGTCGCTGCATAAGCTGCTTGTCACCAAGGGAGCTGGGGAGGGTGTTTGTCCTACTGTAGCCTCACGTAACCTGCCTGTTAATCAAAGCGTGTCTGCTCTGTCCGAGCGTTTGATGATGTGTTTGCATGGAAGCAATCCCGCAAGACTCACAATGACCAACCAAAACGACTCTGTCACACTCAGAACCACGCACGCATAGAAACTCTACCAATACATCATAACCTGAGATGTTGGAGGGGCACTGAGGTTCCTTTTCTCGCTCCTACAAACGCCCTGCTGGTTCGTCAGAACCCGTGATTTGTACTACTTGCGCTGAGACTTATATAGTCTCTGTTTTCAAGTTGAGCACAGATGGTATATCAACCACTTCTTCCATCGATTTATCCAGCAGAAGTCCATATTCATCCGAGAACCGCTAAACACCGATTCGTATCTGCACAACCTCAGCTTTAGTCCACTTACCTGCTAGTCAACTATGTCTGTACCAGGAACTAGTCGCCAGGGCCAATTGAACTTGCCTCTACGAGGACGAGGACGAGAACCATTTACTGCCATGGAAGATGTCTCCGAGAACATGAGAGACTTGCCTCTACGACCGCGGGATCCTCCCACTACCGCGGCAGACGTCTCAGAAAAGACAAGAGAATTACCTCTACTAGGCCAGCTCCATCTCACTTTTGCGGTAGATGTCTCTGGGAGCACGAAAGACATCGCCCTTCGCAAAGAGACTGATGCTATCACTAAGTTTCGGCTTTCCATGTCGCCGGAATTGGTGCCATTGTCTACCATTCTTCCTTGGTCGGAAGAAGCCACCCCACCGATGGAAATTTCGCAAGTCGAAAAGCTCCGTGCTTCTGGCGGAACTGATCCTGGTGTTTTGCTGCAGAGTTCCAGGTGCACATCTAAACTCCGGAACGCCAGCCTGTGGTTCCTCTTAACGGACGGCATCATCTATGAGGATCGGATTCAGAAACTTTGCCAATGCCATCTACAGCGCTGGAATCCATGGAGCGGCCTGTGTGATTATCCTGTTTGGGGAACGCTGGGAGTCACCATTCGACTGCGACGTTTCGGTTGGGATCTCTGTGTTTGCCGCGGCGCCACACTGCATCTTTCTCTTTTCTGATGTGGAAACCGATATCGTGTACGTCTTGCAGGCCAAAGGAACATTTTCCAACGTTCTCCCCGCAGGGAGGGAATTCTCGTCGTTTGGAGAGTGGACAAGATGGGAGGATCTAGTGACCATCACATACGAAGATCTCTTGAGGGTCGAGGTCCCATTACCGATAAATCTGTCCGGGGATATGGTTCTTCTCTCAAACGGAGTCCAGTTTGACTTGAAAAGTATTTATACTGGCTCCATATCCGAAACTGACACACTTACCCTGCTATCGGACTACTCCGCCTTGGATGCCATCCTCGTGGCTGCGACAACAAGGGGTCAACGTGATATAGTCAGAAGATGGATTATGGACTCCTGCCTAGCATTACAGTCCCACTTGAATGAGAATATGCTTCTGCCGGTCGAAGATATAGGTGGCAAGGCAACAAAGATATTTGTCGATCTTGTGAGGAAATTCGATGCTTTGGACCTGGATACGTCCGAACCCCGGAATCTGTGGCAAGCTCTCCACAGATCAAACAGTCTATCAGAGCTTGGACCCATCAAGTCAAAACTTCGTGGCCAGCATCATCAGAACTGGATTTTGAATGTCAAAGCTACTCATCTTGTGTCATCAATGATGGAGAATGAACTTGAAGAAGTATTGATAAGATTGAGTGCATTAAGTCTGCATGCGAGGTCAATGCATCCAAACAACCTTACTCCAATGACTTCACCGAATTCAGAAGACACATCGTCATACGGAGGCAGAAGTACTCGACCAGCAAGAAGGCACAGCTCGTTGGCCGGAGTGAGAAGTGTTTCGCATCTTTCCGAGTCTGGACAGCTTTCGCATGATGCGACGCCCGAATCCAGAGACCACAAATGCCTGTTTTTGACGGGATTCAAAGGCCACAGGCACAGATTCGAGGATGCTTTTCGGGAGCTCTCATACTACCAAACATGTCCTATATGTGGGCAGAAGGACTCGATACAGTGTCTTCTTCTCCGAATCAACACCAGCTCGGATGTTACCCCCAATCTTCCACGGATAAATAGTGGTTATGTCGAACAGGGATATCCAATAGTGCTGGGTAGCAGCTACCCGGGGACTGATATTATATTACCCATGACTTCATGTGATGCTTGCGCGTTTATTCTGCTCAAAGTCGGGGTGTTACCTAATGGTGAGCGTGTTGATGCTGTATTGCCCTTGGTCCCTCTTGACGAGGATGGCAATCGACAGCAATGGGTCCAAATCCTCAACAGAGTACATCAACACCGCTTTCATGATGGTCCTCACCCTTGTGGCCTTTCTCCGTTCCGTCTGCTCCGAGACCGACAGAATAGCTAAAGAGGAGGAAGCCTCCTCTGGCTTTATGGAGCGTCTGAAGTGGTGCTGCAGGGCCATAAGCGAACTTGATGGCGTGGCTGTGAATGCTGGTCTCCTACCAGCCGCAAATCCATGGTCAACTACTGATCCTGACTCGGTGTCCTTGCGACAATATTTGGTGGGAAGATTTTCTGATCCGTGGCATGAAAGATATACTTGCGCCCCACCCCTTCTGGCTTACCCACTTGAGGGATTCGTCGCCATTGTTCGCCTTGCCAGTCTGACAGAGAATATCTCTTCTCCCATGATCGAATTGTGCGTGTGGAAGCGGCTACTCTACCACTTAACTGAGCAGTACTCAGTATCTTGCAAACAGGGTGGACCCCAAGAGGCTGGTCGACACCTTGAAGACCATATATGTGAGCCATTCCGTGTCCCCTGACTTGGAGAGTCAAAAAGCAGCGAGTACTGACCAACCAGTAGATCTGCCATCGCCTATTTCTTCAATTACCGTGAAAAAGCTGGCTAGGTTATTCCCTGCACTTGAGCAATTTGAGCGCATGGGTAAATACTTTGCGCCCATTGTGAAAAGGAGGAAATATCACGCTGCTTTGGCGGTGTTTCTGCACCTCATGCGGGCAATATCAAAATCACTTTGAGGATCTAGATGCAGAGGGGCTCTTCAACAACATCCTGATTCGCGAGAACCAAGTGCGGGACGCTGGTAACCCATCCTGCGAGGTATTCCAGAAACCATTACAGGTTAGCAAAGGTGATGTTGTCAAGTTGATTAAGGATGTGTATGAGCTGAGTTGGGGACCCGTGGAGTGAGAAAATGCATGGTCTTACGCATTTGATGTACCTTGCTCAAGAAGCATAACACGGAATGCTCTATCTACTATGCAGAACATCCTAAAGTCCAGTGTAGACCAACCTCAATGCGAGGTTATATAGTAGCTACATTTCAACACCCCTCGGCATCAACCCCAACCGAACTATATCGAAGGAGAGAAGCCCGTATATAATCACAACTAACCAACTAGTCCCCAACTATAACAACAACCAACAACTAACATCTTATATAAACCACGCCATGATATTAATCAGGGTTGCGCAGAGAGGATGGGTCCGAAGAGGCTAATCTATCGCTCAAAACCACACTCGGTAAGTCATCCCTATTACCTCCTAGACGGGACAAGTGCAGCCAAGACTGACTTATCAGTAGAACCGCTTCCATCGTCTTACTCAATTTCTATGGCCCAGCTGGGTAACCATCTCCCATCACTTAATCAATTCAGACGCCTGGGTGCGTACCTTACACCCATTGAAACAACGCCAAATATAATGCTGCTCAGGTTGTCTTCCTAACACATCATGCGGAAAGTCACAACCCTACTCGAGGATAACCACCCTGAAGTGGAAGCTTCTGTCAAGTACATAGAGGACTATGGGTTCCAGGTACAACAGGCAGATAACCGATTCTGCAACGTATTCGATGAACCAACACTCTATAGAAGGCGACGTTCAGAAGATGATCAGGGATGTCGATTTTCTCGTCGCGTGCGTTGAAACATTCAAGAGATGGTTCGTCCAGAGCCAGATGGGTCGTCGCCTTTCCGACCCCCGTAACTGGTATTTTCCCTTTCCGTTGATCTCCCGGGTTTATGTCATACTCGTCACTATTATATGGACGTGTCAAGATCTTCTGAAGCCCGACTACCATGTCTTGTATGGCATGGCTGGTGGTATGGACCTCTGGGAATCTGTCTTGCAAGACCATATCCCAGCGGTCAGCGTTGGAGATGATATCGAACATCTCCGTATCTTCTGCTTTGTCGGCGTGTATGAGTTGCATTGAGGGAATTGGATAGGGTATGCTTTTTCTTTCTTTTTCTTGGATCACTAGATGAATATCATGGTAGTATGACCATCATCCTTAAGTCTATGGAGACCTATATTCTCTGTGAACCTGGTAGCTAACTGTTACTCCCTATGAAATCAATCTCCATAAAGCGAAGGAGAGGAGATGTCCATATCTATTCCTCAACCACCTAACTAAACCAAACACCCAATATCATACATACATACATACATACACCACTCAATTGGAAATCAAATAAGAATCAAATTCACCCCCACAACTCCCCAAACCCCACATACAAATCCCTCTTCCCAATCTCCACGCCCTCCATCCTCACAATCGCATAGGCAATATTCAAATGGAAATAAATATTCGGCAGGACCATGGTATGCGCATACGTCGCATTCGTCACATCGATCTCGACTCCGGGCCCCACGGGCGCAGGCTTGACCGTCTCAGCATTGGCATTCACCACTTCCTTCGTAGTAGCATCGTCATTATCCGCATCTTTCAGAAGCTCCAGCACTTTATCGATGCGCTCGTAGCACTCCGCGAAGGATTGCGGGTTACCCTCTGGTAGGAAAGTTGTGGGGAGAGTGTCTGCCTCTGGGTGGTTGGTGAGCCGGGCGTAGAGACGGACGGAGTGGGATGTCGCAAGACGGATTTGGTCGGTGAGGGGATACATGGTTGGATGGAGGCGGGAGTTGAGGAGGAGGGAGGATGGGTTGGGGTGGGTGCGTTCGGCGGTGCGGAGGAGGTGGAGGAGGGTTTTGAGGATGCTGGTGAGGATGGGGAGGGTGGTGGCGTAGAGGGTTGAGGTTTGTTTTGGGGGGGTCGTCATTTTGAATGGCTATTATGTGTGTGTGTGAGGAATTGGACGGTTGGATGATTTATTGATTTATTGATTGTGGTTATGGGAGTGGTTGTGGAAAGGGTTGTTCAGTTGACTGTATTCATGTAGTCTGGTGAGCGAGTGAGTGAGTGAGTCACTGTGATGGATGGATACTACAGGATGCTTTATGTAGTAGTGGATGATGGAACTACTAGTGTCGTGATTAAAATCCAACGTCAGACAAAGTGGATATAGTCTCGTATTATAGTGTTTCATAGCCACAGTTCTTCGAGATGGTTGTTGTGTTTGTCGCAGGAATCAATCGTCTGTTGATGCTAATTTCAACTCGGTTACTATATCATGCCTATGGCTATACGCATTACGAGATGGATGGGTAGCTAGAAGGTACTTTGCAAGATTATTATATTTGCTCAAGTCATATCCCGACCAGCGGTGACACTGACGATGCACTATACTCAAGTCTGCTAAGAATACAGCCCTACGACACCCACTGGGGACACACCCGCTTCACAAAGTTCATAAACTTGAAGAACCCGACCGCATACTCGACGTTGCCATACGGATCGACCACCCGCTCCGGGAAAGCGATGCCCGCCCCATACAGACCCCGGACAACGCGGCCGTTGGAGTCGCGGAAGCCTCCCGAAACCGGGTCGAACTCGGGCTCCAATGAGGAGCCGTTGATTGACAGCTCTGGCAGCGGGTCCCGTGTGAAGCCGACGGCCTGTACCAGGTACGAGCACGAGGGCAGATGCCGCTCATACTGTGCTTGCTCCTGGTTGTCGCCGCAGTAGACCTTGGTGATGAACCGGCCAGCCTCGGAATGTGGCAGCTTGTCATCCTCCAGTTGCTGACGGGCGAAGTCGGCGGCAGACCCTTTGAGTCCGGTGTTGTCCCGGAGAATCCAGCCGTCCATGAATTCGGCATACCGCAGGGAATGCCGCGTGAACCACTTGATACGGAGCTCGGGATGGGATGTGCGGGCCAAATCTACCAGGTTGAGAAGGGCAAGGATGGCGCTATGCGACGCTCCTACTACGGCGACGGTCAAGGGCTTATCTCGGGGAAGATGCGACACCAGGTCGCTGGGCTTCAGTACGAGATCCAGGTCCAGCCTTTCAATGTGGTGCCCGGGGATAGAGATAGAGACCTCGGTTGGGGATGACCCTGTGCAAACGACGAGTCGAGGCGTCAGCACCTCGACTTCATCCTGCGAGTCCTGCACCCGGATGCGAACGGTCCAGGTAGCAGTCTAGGTCGACGGTCAAATGTTAGCGATGCGGGATGCTAAATGGCTCCTAGAGCGCTATAACTGACTTTCTCGGCCAGGTTGGCAGCTGTGACAACTCCTCGACACGGCAGAACCCGTTCCATCTTTGTGATGCCATCGGTAAGAGCACGAACCACATCAATAGCATGATGCAAATGACAGGTTTTATTCTGGTCGAGTTTGGCCATCGTCGTAAATGGGTTGGGGATACGAGTGTTTTCGATTACAGTGCGGAAAGGTTGAACGGCCGTAGCGTACGCCTGGAAATAGCACACCTTGGTATTGCTGATTGAGCCAACAGAACCAGTCAGCAGGAGTGTTCCTCTTCTGGCACTCTTGAAGCTCGTTCTGACGACCAGACCGAGGATTTGCTCACCTAGGAACCTCGCGGTATCTCTGGTTTATCCGGCCACCTTGGAATAACGGGTCAACCCAGGCAATCGTCCCTCCAAGTTGCTTCTCCAAAAGATTTCCCACAACCGCCAGACCGGCTGGACCGGCTCCCACAACGACAGCAGCACATCTCTGGGGTTGAGCCATCCTCAAAATGCTCATATAGATGGGGTGGAGAAAATAATAGCAGAAAGTCAGGATATCACAAATTCACAGGGCTGAAAAAAGGGTGGTTGTGACAATCTAAGTGTTGATCTCAAAAGAGCGGGAGAGGCATTTATGGGGATGGGAGTCAAAACGCCAGGGGAGCTGGGTCGTATTGCCGGCGTAATTCTCGGCGAAACAGGCGAACGAGAATCAAGGCCATGTTTTGGCGGGAGAGGGGAAGCCACGAACACAACACCATGAATGACCGCTGAGAATGGGATAGCCGAGTACCCCGATGGCCTAGATAGGATAGGCAGATGGGAAGATAGCCGATCAGCCAGTCAATCCGCTCCAAATTCGAGTCACAGCGCAGGAAAACTGCGCAGAAACAGAAGTCTCTCGGGCGAGATAACGCATGATGCCTCCGCCACGGCCGGTCAGGCGGTGATAACCGCACTGCTCACTGGTCACACTGAGTGTATCACCGCTTCTCGCACGACTGACCGGTTGTTGCGCAATCCAATGTGGCCAGCCCCACCCGGATTCGCTCCTGGAACATCCTGGGCCGCTTTCCGTCGGCCGTCACATTCTGTCGTCTTGGCTGGGAATGAAGGAGGGCCGCAAGGCGTAGAGGAGTCGGGGGGAAGGTCACCGTCAAGTAGGGAGCAACATTGAGCTCATGTCTGGTCAATTGACGGGACTGTGTCTTCCAGTTTGGTCCAAAGAGGGAAGACAAATCCAGCGTTGCTGGTGATGGAGGAAGAGAGCGACCTTATATTCAACTGCGCAGATGACGGGATTGGGTGGTCTTGGCGCAATTGCGTGATCGCCTTGGGGAATGAGGTGATGCTCTCTCCGGCCTGATTTGGCAGGCTACCATCTATAGTTAATACTACCCAGATAGTATACCCAGTCTATCGATAGCCGATAAAAGTATAACAATGACAGCTGCTTAGTAAATAATCCCCAACAATAACTAATACTAAATTAGTTCATAAATACATATCTGCTTACTGCTATCCAAAGATTTACTTGTTTCTAGCTCTCGTGCACTCTAAAGAGGCTGCTGACTTAAGATCCCCGCATTAGACCGCCCAAAACACCCGCACTGACACTCGCTGCACATGGTTCGACCACCCTCCAAACCGTGCCCGACCCCAGACAGCAATCGCATCTCCAATCTCCAGACTGCGGACTTGGCTTCCATCCAGCGTGGCTCGTCCTCGTCCCTGAGTTCGTTCAATTTCCTCCGCTTCACTCGAGTCCGGAGCGATATCATCCTGGTAGTGCCAAACAATAGTATGCTCTTGCGAACCTGGCACGGCCGTCTTATTCGACTGTAGTTTATGAGCCGTTGGCAGCAGGTTAGGATGATCGGGCCCAAAATGGAATGGACCCTGCGGTGGAGGCTGATTATTTGCAGCTCTCTTCTGATGTGCTGAGTGAATGACTTCGGTATCAAACCACGAATAAGAGCCCCCGTATTGGCCGCGAGATCCTGGGCCGCCACCCCATCCCTGATCGTGAGATTCAAGAGTAAAGATGATCTGACGGCATGGATGAGTGGTCCGATGGGGCAAAGGCTTTGGAGACGGAGTATTCAAGGTCTAGTGGTTTAAACACGGTGTCAGCAGCAATGACCCGATGAAAAAGTCTCCGGCTGGAGTGAGACGTATGCAAACTGCCACAGTAGGCCAAAATTTTCCAACTTACCTGCACATCATAGCACAGAGGTACCGTCGTTAGAATAATCTGATCCTGATCTTTCCTGATAACAGTCTCTCCTTCCAGGACGGACTCAGAAGAAGCCCAATACTCGGCTGCGTCCACAATCATATCTACAATTTCAGCTGGCAGCAACTCTTGCGAGTTCCTCGTCCATTGCCAGATGTGCTGTACTAGATACCGAACCTTCAAAACATCGAAGTAATTGGGATAGTATGTGTCACCTTCCGGGGAAGAGTCCTTGTTATCCTCGTCTGGTGGGGTGCTTGTATCGTTGTTGTTGGGGGGCCGGTTTGGTCGTCGCCTCATAGCAAGCCGATTAACTAGAGGCAACATCATTATGTTTGTAGCCTGCGAGCTACTTGAAAGGGCCTCCTTAAGTTTGCACCGATACAAACCTAACGTTGGCTCATGCGAAACGACAGACTTAGAAACGGACGTAGTTCGGTATCGAATCTAATTGTTGCCTTGACGAAATTAGCCAACGGGCCAACATAAGACAGCTACAAAATGAAGAGAATTGCTCACTCAAGACAAGCTCATCTCAATCGTTGGGCTCAGGCACCAGTCTGACTCAAGTGATGTCGGTCAACTTAGTGTAACCGTTTTAATCTCACCCCGCCTTCCGGGCAGAATGATAGAGGGGGAGGAGAGATACAGTAGGCACCACACGCGATGGTTTAATCAATGGAACGAATAGTCTATCAATGATTTGACTAAAACTAGCGTTCATAGGAATATGTTACATGCCGGTTTATAAGAGAAGAGCGCTGCATATGTGAAGGGCGATAGCAGTGATTGATATCGCCAGGAGAAAGGCGGCGCAATCGATAGGTGACGTCATGGGCGTGTTCCTGAAAGGGCCAAAGTTACACATCGCGTACAGCAGAACAGGCACAATACAGACAGTTCACAACCGATGAATTGGCATGCAACAGATGGATATCTACTTAACAAGTCTCGTATCAATTGGCTTTTTGACATGCAAAATACACCCGTGAAATAGAATACAGATAAAAAAACGCCAGCAAGCTCACATCCCAGTCCATTAATCGGTCTTCCCCTTCTTCCATCCACCAGCGGCTTTGTAGGCCGCAGCACGCTTGCTGCTCCGGTTGTTCGGCTTGCCCTTGGAGCCACGGCTCTTCGTCTTGACCCGAATGTGCGAACCTTCGGTGGCCCGATGGCCTTCGAACACCAAGGAGTTCTGCGAGATGGACTTCTGCGCATCCGCCTTCACCTTGGCTGCACCGGCCCGGCCAAAGAGTCTGCCTGCGCGACCCTGAAGGGTCTTGTCTGCCTCACCAAGCGTCTTCTTCTGGCCACCGCCGTCTGAACGCTTCTTGAGAACCTTCTTGGCCCGGGACACGCGGAGCTTGCGGGGAAGCATAGGCGGGTAATGCTTTCCATTGAGTACAAGAGCCTCCTCGACACAGTTTTGATCATAGAATTGAACGTAGGCGAATCCTTTGCCGACACGAGTGAGGCTGTCGCGAACCACGCGGACTGATTCAACATTTCCATTCTTGGGCTTATCCTTATTCGAACGACCGGTGTGAGCGTTGAAGGTCCTCCAGAGACCTTCTTCAACATCTGCGGGGGCTCGCTTTTTCTTCTTCTGCTCATCGTCGGGCTTGACCTCGTTGTCGACAAAGTCCAGATTACCAACGAAAACACAGCGTTTGTGGTCGATCGGGGCAGGATGCGCGACACTGTCAACACGCAAATGCCGGTCCAAAATCACGGTACCGTTGAGCGCAGCGGGAGCCTTGCGCGCGGCTTGCACAGTGCTGTAGACGGCATATGCGTTGGTGCACGGCGTCGTATCATCCAGTACTTCTTGCTTGGCAAATGAGGCTCGCTTGGGGACTCCGCCACCACTGGCAAATGCTGTGGAGCGGAAGCGAATAGATTCCACCTTGTGAGGTCCAGTAGACTCAGGAAGCGTAGAGAGGAACGATCCTAGGTGTTTCAGGAGGGTCTTCTTGGCGGACTTGGACTTGATCGCCTCACTAGAGACATTGCCCAAGAAAACAGTTCGGTTAGATTTGTCCAATTCCTTCGACTCGGCATCCCCTGTCTGGCTCTCGTGCTTCGGGGCGGCCGTCTTCTCCTCATCCTCTTCAGAACTCTCCTCATCATCTTCTTCCTCAGATTTCTCGGCATCCTCTCCCTGCTCACCCTCTACCGTCTTCTGTCGCTTCGCCTTCTCTTCCCGTCTCTTTTCATCCTCCTTCTTCTGCTCCTTCGCGATGCGACGCATGTATGAGTCTTCGACATCTTCTGCAGTGGTCCTCTTGCGTTTGCGGCTGGGCGCCTCGGCGGCTACTTCGGCCTTGTCGCTGCCCTCATCGCTCGATGCTTCCGGGGCTTCCTGCATCTCCTCGTCCTCGGGCAGAGATTCGTCTTCCAATTCGGAGAGCACATCTTCGCCATCTTCATCCTCGTCATTTTCGGCAGTGCGCTTGCTTGATTGAGGAGCGGGAGCGGCGATTGTGACGGAAGGAGCTTTTACTGGGCCAGCCTAATGATGCCCCATGGGGCCATGTTAGTTCAAGATACACTGGCGAAGCAGAAGGTGTGTGTTACGCACACTTGTCTCAAACAGGGCAGCTAGAGTAGGATCAATGGAGGCCTTTGCCCCCAAGAGAGGAAGAGACTTGTCTGACTTTCCCATAATGATAGAAGCCTAGGGATCCAGTCCCTTTCGAAAAATGAAGAAAAATGTAAGATGGAAAAGCTGACAGGCCTGTAACTGTCAAATTTCCGTATTGTCTGCGCTTGGCGTTTCTGTTCTGATATTTCCTACTTTTTTTACTTTTTCCTCTTTTTTTTTCTGGGTCTCGGCGATAGGCGCCGGATCAGTCACGTGGGAACTGATAGCGGTCCAACTGATGAAGGGGCATTAGAAGTCTCAGCCACAAGGAAATTAGATTTTGATAGCCGACCCGAATGAAGTGGCCCTAAATCAACCTGAAAATATAACAATTACCATTGAAATTCCTGTTGTCCTCAATTGAGCGAGACACCGAGGATGATAAGATGGTCGCACGTCAAGGCGGTGAGACTCCACGGGGCGCGGCAACAATACAGCCGGCAGAACGCGATACAGGCGGTATACGGGAAGAGGAGCAGCGAAAGGGAAGCGGCCGGCCAGTCAGTGAATCAATATCCATCATTGCTGCTGCTGCTGCTGCTTTGCTGCTCTGCTGCTGCTCTGGTTCTTTCTCCCTCCGCCGCCGCCTCTCCTCCTCTTTTCCTCTCACCTCCAAGCTGCCATCGCTTCCCCAGCGCTTCAGACTTGGTGGTCTTTATCTCCAGACTCTTTTCCCCACACTACTTGCTCGCTTTCTGCTGGTTTCAACAATTTCCTCATCCAACCGTCTACCCTCCTCTTCCATGCCGCCCATCCTCCCGCTACGCTGCACTGTCGTCTTGCCCGCTTCGTGAGCGTTGACTTTCACCACCTCCTCCTACGTACAATACTTCCTCTCGACGAGAGTTTACTTGCGCGGATTCTGGCGAGTGCATCCATACCACATATTGGTCAATACTTCCGAGTTCTTCTGGCTTGCTCCTATCCTCTCTCCGCGATCGCGGTGGTTCAGGGAACCGGACTCGGTCGCGGCAGCTGCGTCTTACGAGTTTCGCTGCTGGCGCATTACTGAACGGTATGTTCTTCGAGGCTTTTCTTATGGATACTTGGTTGGTGCCAGATACTCGCGATGTTGTCACGGCTCTGGGACCTCGAGACAGCGCCCTGAGCGTTGCAGTTGGGTCGGCGCAGTTCCCAGAGCCCAAACCGGGAGCGAAAGTCACTTTCGCTCCGTCTGGGGTGTGATCAGAACCTCCGCACCGCCTTTGGCAACCCTCTTTCTCCCCTCTCATCCTCGACATTTTCCTCTTCCACTCTTCTCCCCAGCTAATGAGTTTCATATCGCCTTATTTTGCCGTATCATGTTTTTTCTCAAGTTGTCTAACGTTTTGTTCTCCATTGAACTAGATTTACGACCCTGATCCTACCAACAACCACGGATTTGCCTACCCCCCACAGGTCTCCAGACCACAATCTCCACACACCACGCCCTCAATTCTTCCTATCTGACCTCCCCCCTCTTCCTACCGATAAACCTCATACTCGCGCATAACCATGGAGGTAGCCGAAAGCAGGGAGCCTGTTTCGGTGGGTGCGCCAGCTGGGGCAGACTCTGCTGTCACCAATGGCGAACAGAACCTTCTTCTGGACGACTCATTCATGGGTGATGATAGATCTAGCAGTTTGAGTGAGATTGATGACGTATCTGAAAATATTCCATCCGACTATGAGTCTCCGAAGCCCGATAAGGTGGCCCCGGAAAATGATTCAGAAGCGGAAACGGAGCGCATTGAGGACTCACCAAACTTCCGTTCAAAAACAAATATCGTCGTGAGTGCCTCTGGCTATGAGCCCAGTCCCAGCAAGCTGGCTCAGTCGACGACCTACGATGATGTGGAAGATGACGAAGAGCACGTGGCGGACGATTCCCCCAGTAAGCCCCGTGCTAAAACCACACGCACCGCTGAAGTGGACAATGATACACCCGGGCTCGATGACTCTGCGCTTTCAGAAAGCACTGGCAAGAAGCGCAAGCGGCTAGAGTCCGGTGACGAGGGGGGTATGGAAATCGACGAAGAAGATTTGCCGCCCCAGAAGCGCCGTGGCTCAGTCAAGAGTGACTTGAGCGACCCTCCGCCGGATGACCTCGTACTCACACCCGAGCCAACGGACGAACCCCCAAAGCTTGTCGAGGAAGACATCGCAACCGACGACGTCCCCGAGTTGACCTTACCTGCGGTACCTGCTAAGGGTAAGAGAGCCAAGAAGGGTAAGCGGAAGGGTCGGAAAACCAGAGATGCCGACGATGAAGCCGATAACGGTGCGCTTGAGACTGGCGCAGAGGCCGATGACGTTGGCGATGATGATGCCGCGGAACGTGGTGAAGATGCAGATGACGGTGAGGCTGCTGCCGCCAAACTTGAGGAAGAGTGTAAGTTGCCCCAGAGATGCAGGCTCCAGTTACTCCGATTCTGATCTCCACACCTAGCAGCCAAGAGGATATCTGCGATGGATTCTCTCGCCGTATTGGAACGGGAGTTTGCGACCCTACGAGACAAGTATGAACCCATATATCTTTGTGTGTTATGAGCAGATTACTAACCACATGGCTGCTAGGATCTATGACGAGAGGATTTCAAAATTGAACCGGGAGCTAGAGATGCTCGACGCAAAGAATCCCACGCATCCTGAGTACCTGCGGCAGCTTGAATGCATCGGACGGTATCGCGATACGAAAATCAAATACGAACAGACACTCTTTCAGTACAGGATGAAAGCCTTGTTGAACAAGAGTCTAGCTGAACGTGCTCAAGCGCATAGCACCTTCTTTCAACGGACACGAGATATTCGCGAAAGGCATTCAAGTGCGATCAGCAAGCAGTTTTACTCTATCCAGCACGATCGCTTCAAGACGGACGAGATTAGCCCGCAACATTACATTCCGTTCCCCACCCGCCGGTCACAGCAGATCGCCCACCAAACCGCGTACAACCAAGAGGTGTCTGTCATGGCAGGAGTTGCCAAATACGTCGGCTTTCCAGCTGCACCTGCGCTGTCCGCTGCACGGCCATCGGAGCTTGATGAGGATCTAGAAAAGATGGGTGTAAGTCCAATTAAATCATAAAACTTTTCCGACAGTGAACGTCCAAATCTGACATAGCACACGCAGATCTCCATCGAACCACGAGTTCCCGCATCACAGGCTCAGTCCACGCTCCCGCGGGGTGCCATGCCGGCCATGTCATCGAACGTCTACCGCACAGCTGCAGAAGAAGCTTTCTTGGAGCAGACGCCATGGGCTAATCCGCAGCATCCCATACATCAGCACCAGCAGCTGCCACAACGACCGCAGAGTCGAGTCTTTGAGAATCCTCGGGCTCCTGTGTTCACAACACCTGCCGCACAAAAACGAGTGGTCGACATACACGCACCCAACGGGTCTGCCTCCACAATCGCCGAAAACTCCTCAGCCAACAACACCCCCTACGACCAAGAACAACACCCTCAACATCCCGGACCCTTTGCAAACCCCGATTACGAGGCGGAGAGGAGATCTGGGTTCCGATCATTAAGTTCCTCTCCCCTCGATGTACGCAAACCACATCCCGCCTCGTATAATACAACACTCGGTCACCGCTCTCCCCAAGGGACCTCTCAAAATGCCGCCTATTCACCACCTTCGGCCCGACTCGGCCTCTTCCAGTCGGCTACCGTGAAACGTGATTCCTCGCCGCCACTCTCATCTCGACCGGTCAACTCCATTCATCAGTCAACAGGACTTCTTGGCCCTGGGTCGAATCAGATGGCAGCGCGATAATGAAAGTCTATCACGCAGCAGCAAACTCACCATCTACCATCATTTCTTCCGAGGTGTGGACATTCTCCATAGCTCAATGTACAGGGCTTCGCTTTCAGGTGTTGTAGAGTGTTTTTAATGTATGTACGGATTTGGCATGTATGACTGGCACCAACAGGGACGAATTCAAGTGATATATCTATTCTGCAATTTCTGCCGGTTCCTCTTATCTCACTGTTTTTTTTTATGAGGAACTGCTTTGGGGCAATGTGTGAATATGGGCGAACGGAGGCATCGGCTGTTAGCTAATACTTTTTGCTTGGGGTTCTCTTCTTGATCTTTTTTCTCTAAACAAACACCGTCGTCTCTTCTTTCTTCTTCTTCTTCTTATTTTCTTGCAATTCACGATACGTACTACATATGCCCACGGTGTTATGTCTTGACCTTTTTGCTCTCTTGGCGTTGTTGGGATATGTGTATTCTTTCTCTGTTTATTTACCACGGAAAGCCGTGCATAGGAGGTTTATTAGAATAGAAACTCTCTTCACTGATCAGTGCAACTCTTCAATTCTTATTTTATTCCTGTCTTTCGATCTTTCACCATATACGGTGTGGCACTAGTACATCCGTATCACTCAGTAGGTACGGAGTGCAGACACTTATCTTTACCAAGCCACAAGCCACACGTACCGGATCAACATCTCCGCGCGGAATTAATTCCAATGCTACATAAGCCATGTATTGATTAATACTCTCCCTTGGTATAGATTGAAACTCAGATAAATAGATTGATTGATAGATAAGCCCCGCTAACTCGCATAAATGGATATCATCCCCCCACATCTAGATAAGATAAATAATTATTGTAATACTATAATAGTACTACTTAGTTGTAATGAAGCAGACAATGAATTGATTGGCTAGATAGTCTATGCGAGTGACGCAATCGGAAAGGAGATGGGGGGAATCATCCGTAACAGAGGTAGGTATTGATGGATTTGCTTGTATGTATGTATGTATGTATGTATTCTCTTTCTTTGATTGTGGTCTGTTGCATGTTACAAAGTGATACATAACAGAGTAGGTATTTCTTTAAATGCGAGGGGTTATGTTGGTGTTGGTTACGGAGGCTTCCTCTTCTTGCTCAGGTGGTAGTTGGGGTGGCATCTGGTTGTGATTGTGGTTGTGGTGGCGGCGGGGGAGTGGGGTTGGGGTTGTCGTCCGTGCCGTTGGTGAGGGGGGTGTTGGACTCTGACGATTCGATAGGGCGGGATGCGAGGGTGGTTTGCTGCTGCTGCTGAGACTGAGATTGAGGAGTCTGGGATGGTGTGTGTTGCCCTTCTGGTTGTTGCTGTTGCTGCTCCTCGGTCTTCTTGGGACGCCATTTGGCGAGTAATTTACCGGCCAAGGGACGGGATTCTTCGTCTAAAGTGTGGGGTAGGATGGTTAGCGTTGGGGTAGTCTGTGCGGGGGAAGATTGCAACATACAGGTATCGTAGACATCCTCGAGGGCGTTGAGACACATCTCCCGTGCGGGGGGGCGGAACATTATCAGGTACCTTGGAATGTTGTTAGGTTCTTGATACATGAGGTTTCCTGTATTCTGGGTGGGTTTGGAACGTACAGTAGAGACTGAATGCATAGGTTCACGCGTTCTGGATCCTTTGCTAGACTGGCCACTCGCTTTGTGATTGGGATCGTCACCTCAGGTATCTCACTGAGGAAGCGGATGAAGATCTTCGTGTCCCGAGAGTCCAGGTACGGAAGGAACCCGTCCAGGAGTCGCAGGACCCAGTGGTCGTAGTGTAACGGGACCGTTACCTCCTCATCCTCCTCGCGCCGATGCTGCGCAGTAAACTCCATTTGCATCCGGTCGTTGTACCATTCCTCGTTAAGCCACATGATGCCAATGTTTACGCGACCGCGAAAGTCCTCTAGGATATATCGGTAGAGGGTTTCTCGGATAGAGTCCGATATTGGGGCCTTTCCCTTCTCGACTTTTCCGCTTCCCGGTTCCAGACCAGCTGGGGCCCGAGTGGCAAGTCTAGTGAGCAGGGTCACCCAAGCGTCACGGTCGAAGGTGCTTCCAGCAAGGCGAGCAAAGCCTAGTTGCTGTTGACTCTTCCCTTTGGCTGGGTTAGGGGCAACTCCGGTGGACGTCAACATGCCAAACACTCTCCCAACAGCACTTCGACCAATGTCTGCGGCCTCATCTTCCGTCAGAGGCGGTGGTTGGGGTAGAACGAAAGGCCCTAGAGATACTAGGTCCGGTTGGAGGTCGGCCACTTCAGCGGATACGGCCTCTGCTTGTTCGGCTGCCGGTTCGGGAATGTCCATGGGCTGGTACTCGGGCTCGTAGTCGTCGTCATCTTCTGCCTCCGCTGGGGCTGCCGGAGGCTGTGCAGCCTGCTGCTTCTGGATCGTTTGATACCGCATACGTATCGCCTGCGGCTCCGTTAGCACTGGTTTTTCTTCCTTATTTGGAGTTCAGCATACCTCAATGGACTGCTGCATCATCGACTGGTCGACACGACCTAGGAGAGGAACAACAATCTTGAGTACAATATCGGTAGGCAACTGCTTCACATCAAAGTTCGACAGCTCCCGGTCTTCAGTGAGCGTGAAGAGCTGTGAATAGCTGATCGGGCCTGGTGGCAACGGCGGAACCTTAATCAGGGCTGGCGTTTCAGCATCGAGTTTCGCCCGTTTAGTGTTGTCTAGCCCGTCCGTTGGCTCAGTAGGCAAACCACGCTTCCGCGAGGCTTCGTCGGCGACTTCTATACGCGATTGCATCAATCGGTCGATATATTGCTGCATCTTGCCCGCCAGGGGGTGGTTGGGGTTCCTGAGTAGATCCATCAGCAATCCATTCGCTTATCTTATGCCACCATGTTGTCTCACCTCTTGAGTATATTGATCATCACCGCTCGGGCAGTCCGTTCCATCGACTTGACACCAACTCGAACCGAGGGAGTTATGGGAGCGCGCACTTGTCTCGCAGGGTAGAAGTTCATGATCGCGTTGATGATCTTATTGCCCACGGACGGTCGGGTTCGGATGAGGACGGCCAGGCAGTTCAATGTCGCATTGACGAGAAGGGGATCACTATGAAAGTGTTAGCGATATCGTAGATTGACTACCGCGAATAAGAAGGGATCTTAAGTACCTTGATTCTTCTTGAAAGACAGAGAGAAGTCGATCCAGCAATCCGGACGCCTCTGCTTCCAGGTTTGGGAGAGACAGGATAGCATGGTTTCGGGGCACAATGGCCAAGGAGGTCTCATTCTGCTCGGGTCGCTAAGAAGACAGCGTTAATCTCGGCGAAATACGCAAGATCTCAGTGAACATACTCTAGGGTCGGCGATGGGGCCATGCGTCTGCACGTGGATGACTCGCTGTACGAACTTGATACAGCAGATCTTGACGGGGAAAGGGAAGGAGTCCCATCGACGCAGGATGTCCTGTTTGATGGCTGTCATGTTCTCCCAGGCGGTTGCCTCTGCGGGGTGGTTGATACTGCAAGGTCAAGCGTTAGTACACTGCGAAGCCCAATGGGTGCTCTAAATCACATTGCAGCACCATGCAGCAATCTACGAGAGCTCTCCCGAGGAGGGGGGCGAAACAGAAGCAAGCATCAGCCACCTACATATGCCTAAACACCAGCGGATACAAACTGGCCGCATTCTGCACTATATGTTTCAAAACCATGGGATCCTTTTCCGGCAATTCCAATATCTCTCGTAATGTCTGCAGCACGTTCGGGGCCAACTGTTCCTTCTGAGTCGAAGCCAACGCAGGACTGGCAAACGTCTCGGCCAGGAACTCCGATCCCCATCGTCGCAACTCCAGGCGTGTACTTGCGCCAATTAACGGAAGAACACCGTTCACGATCTGTGGGTAGAAGGCAGCATCGCCAAGGACGAGGTTTCGGGCGGCGTTGAGCTGGGCGATCTGATCGACGAGGTGATCGGTCGACTGAGCCATTACGACTGGTTCAATGGCCGACTGAGCCGGCCAGATGGAAGGAAGGACGAGGTTTGAAAGATCGAATTTGTAAAGCAAAAGGGGAACTGGTTGGGTTTGTCTACGCAGGGGAAGGGGAAATTCACGGTGCAAGCACCGGGCTTAGAATGCGACTAGATAATCTGCCGACGCGGCGCATACAGCGTAAAGGTGAGTACCGGTGATTGGTAAATATGAGAAGAAAGCAATGATGACTCGGGCGGAAACAAAGAGGTGATGTAGGTAAGAAATACCAACCGAGAAATCAGAAGGGGAGGAAGAAAGGAGGATAATGGTAGTTGTTGTTGGTGGAAGAAGTCAAGCTGAATGAATGGATGGACGGAAGCCGAAGCAGGAATCTGGCCGGCGCTTGACACAATGGTCACGTGAGTCTGTCTCGCGGCATCCACCGTCATTTCCCTTATTCTGTCCCCCCATCCTCATTCCATATCTATTGACATCCTTTCTAATTGAACCAACAGTCTCATCCAGGAAGAGCTCAAAATCAATGTGCCTAATTGGACGTTGACAATGGCATTTGGCCCGATGCATCCTTAGTATAAATACTCATTATGCAGGTGTTAAGGGATTCTACCCTAGATTTATTGATGATCGGCCGGCATTAAAATGCCTCGAGCACACCCATGGGTCCAGTATAAGATGAAACCTAGCACCTTGTGAATATACTAAGCAGCACTGCTAACACTGTCTAATGTGCCTTGTACCTGGCAACCTCAACTTAGCGACAATGCGAACAATGCTAGTAGAGTCAAAGAGAACTTCCGTCAACACCGTCACGTAGTACAGTCCAGATAGCCATATACTACATTTCACCAGCCATTATCATGCCAAGATCCGGTTGAACAGTGGATCCTTCTCAAGCAATTGGGAATCCCCAGCTTTCAGGGTGATGCATACTTCCCACATTGAAGACGACCCACTTTTCTCCAAGGACGTCCGTGACGGCAGAAAGATACACCCACCAGGGACAAGCGTGAGCCCGGGCTCGAAGTCTACAATGTGGCCCAGTCCAGCGCCAAAATCTAGCGAAAAGACCTTGAGACCTCTCCAGCTGGTTACAATGATCCCCGCGGGTCCTGCTTCAACCTTGGTCCAATCTTCATAGTCGGCGACGGCGGCTGATGCGCTATACATGAGAGTCTTGTCCATGGTTGTAAGCTTCATGCGGATACGCAGTGCCAACTGAGCTAGATGTAGGGTATCTGCATCATTTCCTGTCTGGCCTGCCATCTCTTCAGAATAGATATCATCATGAACAGGGAAGATCGCGTTCCCCAGGTAGGTCTCTGGTAGCGGAGGATCAACTCGGCTTCGCAAATCAACGGCCATCAGGAAATCGGCGCTTTGGGTTCTGTCTGCTCGCTCCGGGTGAAGGGCTCGGTCGACACAGATGGCCAGTGTTGCAGTAATAACATCGTTGCTAGAGATCCACTTTGAGGACTGCAACTGAGGCATGAGTTGAGTACAAATGTCCTTCACCTTGGCTACTTTCTCGGAGCTGAAGGTGTATCGCTTTGTCTCGACCATAGAGGACAAGGCAGATTCCATTGCATTCCATTGCTCAGTGGAAATGTTGGGATCAAAAACAGGCGTTCCCAACTCAATGCTGTGGTCGAGGCGCTTCACACATTTAGATGGAAATTTTGCGACTTCCTTCCGGAGATCATCATGGGTCTTCGCGATAGTCTGCGCGAGGCTGGTTGTGATTTCTTCGTTGGTTGACTTGCAGCACTCGGCGACTGCTTCCAGGATCACACCGGCCCCGGTACCATCAAAGACGCTGTGCCAGAAGGACATGGCCACAATGATCCTGCTATGAAATACATTTGCCTGAAAGCGAAGAACAGGACGCTGTTGGGAGGCTGGGATAAATGTGGGCAGAGGCAGATAGGACTGGATCGGGTGAGAATGAGAGTCTGCATCGCCGTCAAAGTGCTTGGTCTTCAGCATAGGGACATCAGAAAGAGGAACA